GCTTTACTTCTAAATTATATAATAAATGTTTTGTTATTTTTTAAATCAGTGCTATGTGATTGTGATTTTAAATATACACACCAAGAGCAAATTCAGTTTAAATAAAGTACCAAAAAGCTCAGCTTATACATATTATGATGTGTCATATACAAGTAAGTATAACAGATATGTAACTTGAGCATATCAACAATCTTTTTAAAATTAAGGCACAAGTCCTCACTTCAAAGGGATGTGGTGTATCACAACTTTCTGATAATGTAAATAAAATGTGGTACTGTATTGTACATAAAAACAAACTGTTGTTGCTGTATCTTGTTTCCCATTTCATTTGCTAAGACATCAAGTGATAAACAAAAATGATAACAAAATTCAGAGATTGTTTGTGAATTGGTAGATTGTCTAGTTGTTTCTGTATTAGAAAAAAAGTCAGGCAACGTTTTTTTTAAGTTGAGTAATAACAGTAAAGATGCGCATCTCACAGATGATTGGACGCTCTAGCTTGAAACTAATACCATATATCGAAGTTGACAAAATATATATATGAACTCTTCAGTGCTAAGAATACCAGTACAGTCAGGGACACCCTGCAGGTGTTCTCCTGGTAAGAATGTGTTATGTGATACTGCCAAAAACCTTACTTCTGTGCTGCAGTTGGAAGTCAGGATGTGATATTCATGTTGATGGTTAATAGTTAAACAAATAAATGTACAAGACATAAAAACAGTTGGTAGTCAGGATGTCCACAGGTAATGTTAAACATACATAAAAACATACATGTCAAATAATGCTTGATTATCTCCACCAAGAGGTTATGTTTTTGGCAGCATTGATAAGTTTCTTTCTTTACTGTTTAGCCAATCCATTGCTTCTTGTCATCCCTCCTAATATTTTGCTCATTGTCGACGTGGGAGGGCTTAAGAGACGGGGACTGAAACCCAATGTATGGGATCACCCCTACCATGGGCCTCAGCCCTCGCCTCAACTAATTTTGCTTGGTCCTTCCTTTTCTTGTTTCCTCTTCCGTATCTTCTTTATTCCCATTCCTAAGGTGTGAGAGCTGTGCTGAAAGGATGAATAGCTGGCTTTGTGTCAGTCACGAATGGCCTCCAGGAGCCATGGGCACTGTACTCCCTTGGTTAATTGCCAAGCCCTTACCTCTTATGGGGACCCTAAGGGATAGACTGTTTCTTTTCCCCAGTTTATTTAGACTCACCATGGCCAATAAAGAAGATTCTTCACCCTTAAAAGGGGCTTTAAAGCTTGCCTCTTCATCAAATAGGCTATCTGAATTTGATTTTGATGATTTTCTGACCCCTGCCCTCTTTTGATCACAGCATCGACCACTGATACTAATACCTCCTCTTCGACGCATACAAACAATTCCAACTATTCCAAGACACCCACCCACGTTATTACTCAATCTCTAGAAAGCACAACTTCCTCTTCCCCAACATTCTCCTCTTCATCTCCTGCTATACAGTCCTCTTCAATGTCTACCCCCTCTTCCCTTATTACCATTCTTCATCCTTATTGTCCTCCCCCTGCAGAACTACTGCACTCCACACCACCCCATCTTCCTCTCACCCTCATCCTTCTAGTGCCTCTATGTCTACAAACCTTTTGAGTACTCTCTTTGGCCCAACCAAGTGGGATTGATTCTTTGTGATTCCCCCACAGCCCCCTATTCTGAGAATACCCTTCTCTTTCAGCAGTGCCTCCAGAAACAAGTAAGCAAGGTTACCTTTCGCAGTCGTTCTGATCATTCACACCTTGTCACGGTTACATCTGAATCCCAAGCTCGTGCACTATCTACCCTAACTGACCTCACTGGCAAACCATTCGTGCCGAACCTCACCCCTCTCTTAACCCATTCACGCCGGTATATTTTAAGCTAAAAATAAAAGATTCCAGGCGGCTATAAAATCGGCGGGCGTAGCTTCCCGGGAGTTCGTCCGCCCTCCAACCGCAGCCCGCTGCAGCGTCACACTGGCGGGACGCCCGGCAATGTTTATTTTTTCGGGTGTCTCATACGTGGGACACTCGTTGTTAATGGGTTAATACTTGTACTGGAAATGTTTCTATTCCACGAAATGCTTGCCCCTTGTATGACAAGGACTGGTCAGACTGAAAATTACCTACTTTTTTGCCTTGCTGAATATGATGCAGTGGCAGTACAGTGCTACACTATTCCTCCCAGAGGCCAGTGTAATTCTCATGTCACTATTGCCAAGATTAGCTTCCATAGTTTATGAAGTTTATATTGGTGGATTGTCTTATCATGTCCGACAATATCAACCCCTTCCTCATCAATATCAGAAATGTTGGCGTTTTGGCCACCCAGCCAAACATTATCGCTCTGCCCTCTATGTTCCCAACCTGGTCATGACCGTTCAAACTGCCCTGCTTAGTCATGTACATGTGCCAATTGTGGAGACTCCCATAATGTATTTTATAGAAGCTGCCCTGCCTATAAGTTTGAATATGAGGTAGCAGTCCTGAGATTTAAACTAAGCCTCGCTCTACGTGAGGCCAGACAGGAAGCATGACGAGGAGGTTTTTCTCTCAACTTATTCCAAAACAGTCCTTCGCTCTGCTCCCTCACCATCTTCACAAGATGTTTCTGTATCTCCCCAGGTATCTCTCCCCTATACCCTAAACCTACCTCCTTCGTCTACTCACCCTCCTACTACATTCTCTCCTACAACTTTTCTTTTCTCTGTTCCTCAGATATCTATCTCCTCTTCTCCTCCTCATACGAGAACCTTTATTTCTCAGTCCTATTTACCCAACTCCCCTCCAGATACTCTTGAAGACATCCAAAACATCCTCAAGATGACCCAAAGGAACACTCCGTTCCTCACCCCCCCCCATCCCTCTGTTCCTACTCCTTCTACATTTGAAGTATTTACAGATATCCATCCTCTTCCTCCTATGCCCACCCAACATACCCCACCCTCTCTACCACTTCCACTTGAATACTCACATGAATCCCCTTTATCACAACAGTGTCCTTCTCCAGAACCCTCCCCGCCAGACATTCTTCCTGATATCTCACTGACTTCTCCAGTCCCCTTTTCTCATCCTCTGGATTCTTCTCCACCTACTTCTCCAACAGCCACCTATTCCTTCCCCAGTCATAAATACACTGCAATTCACTCAGTATCTCTTCCCCCTTATATTCCCCCTACCCTTTCCCAAAATATCTCATTCTCTCAACCACCCAAACCACATATACCACCTAAACCAAAAGCTCGCCAAAACCCCATCCTTCCCCACTATCTCTCCCTCTCCCACCTGGATACACACATGAATCTCTTTTATCACAATACCCTTCCCCAGACCCCACCTTCCCTATCAAACCCCCAGACACTACTCCTTCACCTACTGATCCTTTATCTCAACCCTCACATACTTAATCCTCTACTACTAAGACAACCATATCTACCATTATTACCTACTATCCCTATTCCTTCCCCAGTCACAGATACAATTCACTTAATTGCTCTACCTCCTTAACCTTTCCCATTTACTAATCACTGCTCTACTTCATTTACTTCCCTTCTTTCCCATTTTGTTACCATACTTTCCTGTAACACCCTCTAATCTTTGACATCTAACACCTTCCCCTCTCCCCGGATTCTTCACCTACTCCTTCAACAGCCATCTCTATTCTTCCTTGAACATTTTTCCTATACTTTCCCCAGTGACACTACAATTCACTTAATCGCCCTCCCTCCTTAACCCTCCCCTTTATACTAATTTCTGCTTTAGTTCAATTGCTCCCCTATTTCACTTTTTATTACCACTATTCTATAACATTCTCAAACCTTTGACATCTAACACATTTTATTGTAATCTTTAACTCTCCTTTGCCCTTTCTGATGCAATACTTTACCATAGTGCTATATGACCTTTGATGTCTAGCACATTTATTTTCAAACGTAGGGGATTGCCCCTACTTTGGGTCTCACCCCTCGTCTCAACTAATTCTGCATGGTCTTTTCTTCTCCCCCTTTCCCTTTCCGTATCTTCTTCATCTCCTTCTGTGCCATTTCTAAGGTGTGAGAGCCATGCTGACAGGATGAAAGGCTGGCTTTGTGTCAGTCATGAATCGTGTAGTCCTTACCCCTTATGGGAACCCTGAGAGGTAGACTGTTTCTTTTCCCTATTTTATTTAGGCTCACCATGGCCAATAATGAAAATTCTATACCCTTATTAGGGGCATTAAGGCTTGCCCCTTCATCAGGCAATCAGGCAACCTAAACATTCCACTCCATCTTCTCCTACCACATCCACTCCTACACCCTCCTATTCCTCTGCTCTTCAGATATGTATTCTCCTCCTCACAAGAGAACCTTTGTTTCTCAGTCTTCACTCAACTCCCCTCCAGAAACTCTTCAATGAAGACATCCAAAACATCTTAAACATGACCCAAAGGAACACTCTGCCCCCTCATCCACCATTCAAACCCTCTGTTCCTATTCCCTCTATATTCAAAGTATTTGCTGATATCCATCTTCCTCCTCCTCAAGTTCTCCCACACCCCTTCCTCCACTCTCCCAGTACACCCAGTGCACTCTACTGTTCCCACCAGAATGTTTGCATAAATCCTTTTTGTCACAATAATGTCTTTCCCCAGACCCCTCCCCCTCCTGACATTCTTCTTGATACTTCATTACCTTCCCCAGTCCCCAATTCTCATCTCTTGGATTCTTCTCCTACTTCTCAAACAGCCATCTCTGTATTCCTTGAACAATATCCCTATTCCTTCCACAGTCACATATACACTCCAATTCATTCAGGCGCCCTACCCCCTTAACCTTTTTTTTTCTAATCTCTGCTTTACTTCATTTTCTCCCCTCTTTACCCTATTCAATATCATACTATCCTATAATGCTCTCTAATCTTTGACATCTAACACATTTTATCCTAATCTTTAACTCTTTTACTAATCTCTGCTTTACTTCATTTAACCCCATCTTTTCCCTTTTTGCTTTACAAATCTCTGCTTTATTCATTTGCTCCCCTCTTTACCTTTTTCACTACCATACTATCCTATAATGCTCTCTAATCTTAGACATCTAACACATTCTCTCCTAATCTTAAATTCTTCTTTACCCTTTTTGCCACAATACTTTACCATAATCCTATATGACCTTTGATGTCTAGCACACATATTTGTTTCAAACCATTAACCATTAACCATCAGCCCAACTTAGATGCCATTAAAGTTTGGTGGTGATCCAAATCATGCTCCAGATCCTGCGCAGGATTTTATTTTTATGAAGTTTTTACTTGAGTGTGTCTTACCCAACACAGATGACATTCTGGATTTGGATCCAGGAACATTTTAAAGGATTCATTAGCATTGTAAGATATTTATTTATTTATTTTAAAAATTCTGCCACATCAACATCTATGGTCATTAGCAGCATATACAAATGTAGCAATAGAGCGAGGCTGGGGGCAAAGCCCCCAGATAAGGAAAGTATTGTGGAAAAAAAGGGGAAAAAAAGTTAAAATTAATATAAAATATGTTATATATATTTTGTAATCCTTCATATACATTTTTTTGTTTTTAAATAACTGCAATCTGACATCTTGGAACCACTTCTTTGGTGTGCAAACTTACACTCTGCCTATAGTCACTATGCTTGAGATATCTGTCCATTAAAAATATCAGTTATGTAATTATGATATTTATTGTTATTGTAAATATTATCATTACTATAATCATAATAAAGATAATGTAAAGAATAATCAGCATTAATATTATAGTAATAATCATAATAAGCATCATCATGATAGTAATGGTAATAGTAATATAATAATAAGCATAAAAGCAACAACAATAATAATCATCATCATGAGCGTAAAGTAATGAATATCATTTTGATATTGAATATTGAAGTCAGTATTAAGTTATGATATTTACAACTATAGTATGAATTTTCAAAAATATGATTGAAAATATTATTTTAGTCATACTTTTCCAGTCATGGAACATGAATGTTACATTCCACACTTGTTGATTGATGGAAATAATGCAAGAGCCCCTTCCTAAATGCCCACTTGGTCTAATCAGTCTCCAAGAGTTTTGTGCACTCCTGGCAAGTCATTCCAGTAACCTTGGCCCTAAGTCAAATTTTCCCACGACAGCATGTTTAAGTCATTTGCCTTCCAAGCCAATTTTTTTCATGTTGTGATGGTCATGTAATCTGTAGGGTGAACTCTTTTCTTTGACCTATTAATTATTCCATAAAAGTTACATTTTCCTCTATTATGTAGTTTGTGTTAGTATTATAATATGTAGGTCAGATTCTTGTCCTGATTCTTTCAATAACCACTTGTTAATCAAGATTCATCTAATGTAATAATTATGTGAAGAACTACCAGCTTCAACACAGCTGTAACTGTTCTTGGCAACCTCACATCATAATCTTACCAGGCATTTAGAATATCTACAGGGGTCTAAGCTGTTAAGCTTTCACTTGTCCCCAGATGTACATTTAATATTCATTACTTCTCTGATTTCCCTGTATTGTGCTGGAATATTTGCCTGACAATATAATACATTCAATAACACTCCTCTCACCTCATGTGAATGTGCATTATAGGAATTTCCAGAATGATGGAGGTGCACCAACCACTGCAGCGTAAAAAACTGATCATATACCACACCTGATGCTTCTCGTCGCAGTCCAATAAATTAGTCTGGCAGACAGTGAAGTTCAAGTGTCCAACTACTATTCTGTTTGGATTAAGAGTAAAAGACCATCAGTTGTCAAATAAATATTGAAGTATTTGTAAAGTCATGCACTGCCTAATATAAATATATATACATGATATGGGTCAATACAATGATGAAAAAAATGAATACTGAATTGTATGCATATCTAGATTGCAGTGTAATGGATTCAGAAAGTCCCTTTACCTACTGTGTTCTAATGACGCTTTAAGCACTTCCCTATTTGCACAATATTACCTGCCATACGATGTCTGGCATGCATACCCACCACTAAAGTCTATTATTGCAGTATGAATACCTTTTAGCCATAAATACCTAGGCTGTCACTTCAATATTGCCCCATCT